TCAGATAAAACTTAACCCACAACTCTCACGTTGTGTGGTTTATTGACAGTAAAACAAAAATTAAGCTTACATACTTGAACTCATAGTAAACATTCAGTATCAAACATTTCTTGACTTACATTACTTTTTAAAAGTAAATAATTATTCCATTTCTTAAATATAGCATCTTTAAATATATATTAACAGATATTTGTGAAACTTAGGAAAATATATCCTGGAAAAATTATTAGCTAATTAATAAAAAAGCTATTTGTGGAGTTACAGAAATTCAGAAGTGGAAAAGAATAGTATTGGAACTCAAGTTCTTTTTTTAATTGCAGAGATCCTGAGGCCTCAAAAGACATATAAATTTGCCTGAGTTTATACACTGTCCTTTAACAGAAAGCCTAGAACTAAGATCCTGGTCTTTGAGAAACCAAGACTTTTTCTGCTGGTGCAGGGTGAACTTTATGAAAATGGGTCATGAGAAAGAACCAGAATGCGGGAGCCTGGGTGAGGCAGCGGAGGAAAGGGGGGTCTCACCTGATCGTGGGTGAGAAATAGGCTCCCACAGTGCTGATGTGATGGGCATCCCTCAAGTGCCTGAAAACTATTTAGCACACCTGCCACTGAAATGCACACAAGCTGTTTAACTAGAAGTCTGACCAGGAGGCTTTCTCAGTGACACAACAAGCTATTTTCACGTTAACTCTACAACTACAGGAAGAGAAAGAATGGAAAGCTGATATTAATTATTAATAATTTACACCAAGAACCAAGGAATTTCCAGGAGAAATATAAAGACTTGTTGGAAGTTTCATTATGTGAACTTACTGCCAATTCAGTTGTCTTAAAAGTTGTTCTATAAAATATATTGTCCTTTGCTGTTCCAAATCACATTTGAAAGAAATAATGTTTCTTAAGGATGTTTCAGGAATTTTCTTCTATTTAAAGAATGGAGGGTTGGAATTTCGTCCACTCTTCTCTAGGCAATTTGCTGTTCCTTCAAAGAAAAAGGGGGGAGTCACACAGAAAAGCATTTGAGCATCAGGCTGCTTTCATTTCCTCCGGAAGTCTTGGAAAATAATGC